TGCCTATTGGGCTTTATTTATTTTCATTTGTGGACTGGGCCCAAATATCAGTTATTTAGACCCCAAACAACTTGCCCCCCAGACCCGATTCGTGAGGATAACGGGTCGGGTTTCAGCTGCTGAGAGATTTGGAGGGAAGTAAATGAAAATAATTTAAATTTTTGTTTTGAGGAATTTGTACGGCTTAGTGACCGTTAATGATGATTAATTAACCTTAATGACGGTTAGCTAACGATAGTGGGGAAGTGGAAGGAACTTAGTGGATAATTAATTTTGGCGGTTTGCAATTTGCCTGGGAAGAATTTGAAGAGTTGTGAATTGAAATTAAGTGAGTGAGGGTTTTTTACCGGATATTTAACTTGTTTTTGCATAATCATTTCCGGCATTCACAAATCAACCCACATTCGCATTTTTCTCTCATTTCCCTGCGAACTCGCGCAAACACAACTTCTCTTTTTCACTAATTTCTGCATTTTTCGAAGCTTTTCCGCACAATTCGTTGCTCCGAACTATTACATCGGCGAATTCCGAGTCTGATAGAGGTAATTTTCTCCGAATTTCATTCGGATTTTCCCTCTTTTAAGCTTTTTCCCCTTTTTTCGTCCTTTTCACGTCGCTGCCGATTTCGCAATGGCCGGAAATCCCGGAAAGTGACCAATGGAATCTGAGGTGAGTGCTTCAGAAGAAGAGACGCCGCAACTAATCTTGAGGCGTAATCGCCCTCTGGCGCTGATGCCATTTTTGAGCGGGCGTAACCCCAATGCCAGAATTGGGGTCGCCGCTTCTTCGAGTGGCGAGGGAGTGAGGGTTGTTCCTTTAAACAGTGCCCCTCCAGCTAAGACAGCCAAAGCCAGTACTTCAGGCCGAAGGGTCATCTCGAGATCCAGACCTTTGGCTCCTGAAGAGCAGGACTGATGAGTCTGAGAACTCAGGCTTGCTGATGACTGAGCCATGCTCTTGGTGGCTGGAAAATGATGCTCGGTATCGATTTACCGAGCAACTTGAAGTTTATTACGGCATTATGGAAGCCGATGGCTATTGGTGCCGAATGCCCACAGAGTTAGATAGGATCTACCGAGCACCTCCTGGTTATATCGGGGTTTATGTTCGACAGCTGCAGAATGGGCTGCGATTTCCCGTTCATCCGTTCGTCGTCAAAGTGTTGAACGAATACAACATTTCTCTAGCTCAGCTGACCCTGTTAGCATCAAGAGGGTCATGACTTATCTGTGGGTATGCCTCTTCTATGGGCTGGAGTCGAGCATCCATTGCTTTCGGTGCACGCATAAACTGGCGCCGAACACCCAATCAAGCAAATGACACGGCAACAGTTGGTGGCAGATAGAGGATGAGAAGGGTTATTTGACCACTTATCCGAATGATACTTCAGACAAATTTTGGCGGGGCCAATGGATCTGGGTGCGAGCCCCTTCAGACGAGGGTCACCCTAATTATTTCGAGGGACCTCGTTATACGAGAAAACCTGATCCTTCGATGTCTAGCATCGGCCCTGACGATTTTACCGAAGCGGATCGTCAGCAGATGGCGCTTTTTGGCCGAACTGTCAATCCTGGCGCTAATGGCTGAATGACCATTGTGCCAACTGTTTGGCTGCCATGTTGTCATTACATCTTCTAAGAGAAGATGTTAGCAGTTGTTGGCCTCAGCCGAAGATACCAAGGTGGTAAGTGATTCGGCTGGGGCCGAAACTTTTACTTTCTGTTTTTAAGTTTCTGTAGTCTGAAATTTTTTCATCTGAACTAATATTTTGCTCTAATGATTTTTCAGAGATTTGCGAGGGGAACTCCGACATTAATTACGAGGAGTTGGGGATCATGCAGATAAGGGAGCCGATCACCAATACCCCTCCCATCACTGCTGTCAAGGACCGCCCTCTTGCGCTGCAGCCGAGAAAGCTAGAGGTGGTCAGCGCTTTCGAGTATTTGGCTCAGAAGCCTTGGCACAAGAAGCTTGATCCCTTCTTTCTTCATTCAGCTGAAGAAGAAGCTGATGCTGCTGCTGCCGCTGCTGCGTCGAGAGGTGGTATAGTACACCCATCCCCTCCATCCGAACCACAGAGAGAGGAGGATTCGGACGAGGAAAACACCGAAGAACTATTCGGGCCTTCGGTAAGTCCCTGATTCTTCTGCATTTTTTCCATACTTTAATTTGCGTGAAATTTTTTCTAAGTATAGAACTCCAGCATATTGATCTTTCGGCTTGTGAAGAATTTTTCTAAGTGTGTAGCTTCAGCTTTAAGTACGCATGTTATACGTAGCTTTTCTTAACTTGTAAGAATTTGTGCTAAGTATAGATCTTCGGATGCATACTCTTCTTCTGATATGGTTTGCATGATTTGCAAAAGTTGTTAAGTATGAAGCTTCGGCTGAAAGATCTGCGTGCCTTTACTTTGCGTTGTTGTGTGTGTTTTTTATTTTTTTATACTCACTGCTTACACGTCTTCCTGCCCCTCTTTCCTCTCTTCTGCAGTCTGAAGGGGAAGAAGTAGAGAAAGAAGAAGCTGCCCCTCCTCCTGAAACCACTGTCGAAGATATGGCTGGTGGGAAAAGGCCTCTGATTTGTCCCGGCCAGTTTAAAGCGCCGGTGCTTCCCATAAAAAGACCTCGGCTGGAAGAGGTCCAAGAGGAGGAGGTGATAGAAGTAACTTCCCCTTCTCGGGAAGTTCAGGCCGAAGTGGCCCAGCTGAAGAATCCCCCTATCTCTCCAAGGCACGTCGCCGAGCCATTTTTTGTAGAGGTTCGGCACGAGGCTGATGTGTTGGATGCTCATATGGGAGGTCCTGGACCCATCATCGCTGAAGATGAGGTCCAGGTAGTCGAAGCCAAGGCGGCCAGAGGTAAAGATGTGTCGTCCTCCTCTGCAGCGGTTCTTTCAAGACCTTCTAGTCTGCAGAGATGGGCTTCGGCTCAGCACCACTAGTCCCTGTTCCGGCACACGCTCGTGCGGTTTTTGAGGACAGGCACGACTTGGGCCTTTCCTACTTCGGCAATCTGAGTAACCTCTCAGCTCTGGAGAGGGCTCGAGCCTTGACACTAGGTGCTGCTACCGGAGCAGCTGAATCTTTGGAAAAGGTGCTGAACCCTTTCCTAGAAAATAAAAGAGTGTTGATGCAGGTAACCTTCCAACACTTACCTTTTTTTTTTTTTTTTTTTTTTTCTAAGTGTTGGACTTCGGCTAACCCTTTACTCTCATCTGCAGGTTGTGCACAACCATTTCCTCTCTATGGAAATGTTTGATGAGCTGCAGGTTTAGGCAGAGAAAGCTGAGGCGTCTGAGGCCCGAGCTCAACTTGCCGAGCTGAAGCAGTTTAAGGCTGAAGAAGAGTCGTCTCAGCTGAAGCGAGACATGCAAGGGATGAGGGCTAACTTTCTCTCGGTCTGCCAAAACTTGGAGAGGACCATCTTCCCTTGGGTGGAGGAGGGTCATGCTCTCATCCAAGAGTATGGCGCCGAGAGCATAGCCGAGTTCAAGGTCCGGATTCAGGACAAAATGAAGGAAGAGGCTGAATCTCGACGACTTCTCATTTCTGCTAATGAAGATCAGCTGGCCTAGGCTCGTGAAGAGGCTGAAAAGAAGCAGAATGACCTGCTCTCTGCCAACCAAAAGCTGAAGGATGATCTGGAAGTTGTGCAGACTGAGTTGAAGAATGCCGAAGAGTTGCTCAAAACCCGCGTCTACACCGAAGCCGAATACGCTGAAGGGTTTGAGAATGGCTGGAAATCAGCTCGGCGCCTGGCCCTGCATGCAGCTCCTGATCTCAACTGGGATCAAGTCGAGGCCTGGTCAATGGATCCTAACAACCCTCGAATTGACGAGGCTAGTCAGGCCGAAATTGACTTCCTGGTTCGACAAGCTGAAGCTGAAGAAGCTGCTAGGGAGGCTGGAGCTGCTGAACCTGCCTCTTCTTCGGCCAATGCTGGTCCATCTGGGGTCCCTAAAGCATCTTCAGCTACTGCCTGTCCTTCTGGAGCTCTGCTTGATGCTGAAGCATAGGAACTCGGGCAGCCATCTTCTGAGTCTTGCGGATCCACTTGCGCCTGAACGACAATCTCCGCTTCTGCTCTTGCCTTAGTTTTTGCTTCAGCCTGCCTTGTACAAACTTTATAATTTGTTTTTGTGTACTTTCGGCAGCTGTGTTTCCGCTTTGTGGGCGGTTGCCAACTTTGAATTTCTGTAACTCTAATTGATTACCTGATGTCTCCTCTCAGCCTTGATTAATTGATTAGCTTTGTCGTTTAACTGCTTTGGCTTACAAATCATCTTACTGATAATGTTTACCCTTTGCATGTTTACCCTTCAGAATTCTGGAAATAATTTCTCCAGAGTTCTGAGTACACTTGACCTAGGCTCTTCGGCACAACCGAAGGTTTTGCCTTAGCAAATTTTTATTTTCTATTTTTCTTCTTCTAGTTTTAATTCATTAGAGGGAACAACTATCTGGGACACTGTGCCAGGGCAATGATCTTCTGAAGTACAGTGCATCACTATGCAATATTTCAGAGGTGTAATCATTACCCGAAACTGATCAGCCGAAACACCGTGCATTATTCATGCAATGTTTCGGCGTTTTGATCAGATCCTACTTTCAGCTATGTCCCTAAATGCGTCTATAACCTCTTTGCCGAGGGTGGCGAATTCGTCCGAAGTACAATACATCATTATGCAATACTTCGAGCTTCTATTCGCTGCCCCGTTTTCGGCAGATTCCCAGCTTGCCGAAGTACAGTGCATCACTATGCAATACTTCGGAAAGCATCGGGTGTAAATCTTAAATTTTAAGAAAAACCATGAAGACATAGAACATGAAAGCATAAAATATTTCAAACGAACTGCGGCCTTTTCATTAATTCAAAGAGATGTACTTACATAGATTGTCCTTCCCATTTCGGGCTGTTACATGTGAAATCTCTAAGTACATCAGCGTTCCAGTGGTTTTTCAGCTCAGTCCCATATAACTACCAAAGTCGATAAGTTCCAGGTTAGAGCTCATCGTATATTTCATATGGCCCCTCCCAGTTTGCCGAAAGTTTTCCGTGTATACGGCTTTTCTGAACAGCGGCAGCATTCCGAAGCACAAGGTCTCCAACTTTGAGGTGTCTTTCTTGGACTCTTCGGTTATAGAACTTGTTGGTTTTCTGCTTGTACACAACCATTTTATCCCTGGCCGAATCTCGGACTTCATCCAGGAAATCGAGGGATCCTTTCATGAGTTGGTTCATTTTCTTCGGCTGAGAACTGGTTAACTCGAAGGCTTTCTGAGCCGATTTCCACTGGTAACACGGCTTCGGATCCATACACCAATTCAAAAGGTGAATGTTCCGTTGCCTCTTTTTCAGTTGTCTGAAGTGACCATAGGGTTCCAGGAAGTTCCTCTATCCACTTGGACTTTTGATCTTCGACCCTCTTCTTGAGAGCGTTGAGGATCTGTTTATTTGCGGCTTCAGCTTGGCCGTTGCTTTGAGGATGGCAAACCGCCGAATACGCCAGCTTAATGTCGAACTAATCTGTGTACCGCCTCAGTGGCAGATTATCAAATTGCCTCCCATGATCGAAGACAAACACTTTCGGGATGCCAAAGCGAGTAATGATGTTCTGCCAGATGAACTTTCTGACAGTTTGCTTAGTTATGTTTGAAGCTGCTTCGGCTTCTATCCATTTGCTGAAGTAGTCAATTCCGACTATCAGCCACTTTTTCTGATAAGGAGCCTCAGGAAATGGTCCCAAAATATCCAACCCCCATTGAGAAAAAAGGAGTGGATTCAGAATCGGCTGAAGGTCTCTCGACGGCCGATGAATAACTGGTGCGAATTTCTGACATTTTTCACATTTCTGCACCAGGCCCTTGGCATCTTGGATCATGGTTGGCCAGTAATACCTTGCCCGTAGTGCTTTATGGGCCAGGGCCCTTCCCCCTATGTGGTTTCCGCAGATGCCGAAGTGGATTTCCCAAAGGATATAATCCGCATCTGTTGGGCCCACACATTTCAGCAGTGGGGCTGAGAAACACTGTTTCAGCAATTCCCCATTGTAGACAATGAACCTTGAGCCGATTCTCTTTATTTTTGCGACTATGCTTTTGTCCTCGGGGAGTGTTCCCTGAAGCTTATAAGCCAGGATGGGATCCATCCAGCTTGGCTCAGCTTCGACGCATTGGACCCCAATTTCTTGGTCAATGCTTCTACTTCGGCGCACTTCCACATATACAGATCGGTTCAGCTCGGTGAGAGTTGAACTTGCAAGTTTGGAAAGCGCGTCGACTTGAGCATTATGACCCCTTGGGATTAGCTCAATTTCAAAAATTCTCAGCTTCGCTATGACTGACTTGGTCTTGGCGAGATAAGAGATCATGGAGGGCTCTTTTGCCTCATATTCGCCCCGAATCTGATTAGCGACCAGCTGAGAGTCTGTTTTTAAACAGACATGCTTGCCTTCGAGAGCTATGCACAATTCTAAGCCAGCAATTGCTACTTCATATTCTGCTTCGTTGTTAGAAGCCTTGAACGAAAATTTGAGTGCATACTCGAAGTTTTTGCCTTCGGGAGAGGTAATCACTTCCCTTGCTCCCGAATCATTTATGGTGGCTGAGCCATCCGTGAATACAGTCCAAGACCCCTTCCCTTCGAGTGTTTCTTGGTAGGAACACTCGGCTAGGAAATCTGCTAAGGCTTGGGCCTTAATAGCTGCCCTCAGCTGGTAGGTGATGCTGAATTCAGTGAGCTCGAAAGCCCACTTAGTTAATCTGCCTGATTTTTCCACCTTGTCGAGGACTTTTTCCAGCGGCTGATCTGTTAAGATCACTGTTTGATGAAAGTCAAAATAAGGCCTTAACTTCCGAGCTGCTACCACCACCGCATATGCAACTTTCTCCAGTAGGGGGTAGCGAGTTTCGACATCAGTCAATGTATGACTGACGAAGTAGATCGGCTGCTGGCTTTTTTCTTCTTCTCTCAGCAGCACCGCGCTTACTATGGTTGGACTCACTGCCACATATAGGTATAGGATATCTCCTTCAGCCAGTCTTGCCAGCGTTGGGAGATTTGCTAGGTGCTCTCGGAGCTGCTGAAAGGCTATCTTCTGCTCTTCTTCCCATACGAGCTCTTTAGATTTTGGCAGTTTTAGCGCTTTGAAGAAGGGCAGCCCCTTGTCCGAGGCTTTTGAGATGAACCTGGAAAGGGCAGCCATCCTCCCTGTGAGACGCTGAATGTCCCTTTTTGTCTTCGGCTCGGGAAGATCGAGAGTTGCTTAAACTTTGGCGGGATTGGCATCAATCCCCCTTTTTGCTGACCATGAAGCCCAGGAACCTTCCTGACCTCACGCCAAAGACACATTTCTTCGGATTCAGCTTCATTTGGTGTTTTCTCAGAGTGGTGAACGTTTCGGCTAGGTCCGCAACATGGTCTTTCGCTTCTTTGCTCTTGACGATGGAATCATCAACATAGACTTCCATGTTGCGGCCTTTTTGTTCGGCGAACACTTGGTCCACCAGCCTCTGATATGTCACTCCGGCATTTTTCAGGCCGAAGGGCATCATTTTATAGTTGTATACCCCGGCACTTGTAACGAATGCCGTTTTAGGTCTGTCGTCGGGGTGCATGAAGATCTGATGGTACCTAGAGAATGCGTCCATGAAGCTGAGCAGAGCACGGCCACTTGTCGAATCGACTAATAGATCGATTCTTGGCAAGGGGTAGAAGTCCTTCGGACATGCCCTATTCAGATCCGTGAAGTCAACGCACATTCTCCAGGTGCCGTTAGCCTTCTGAACCATCATCACATTCGCCAGCCATTCAGGATATTAGCAAGGTTTGATTAACCCTGCGTCTAAAAGCTTTTTGACTTCGGCTGCGATGTCTTGGTTCTTCTGGGCGGAGTAATTCCGCTTCTTTTGCTTAACGGGTTGACATGTGGGGTCAACGTTAAGCTTGTGAGAGATGAGGTTCGGATCAATCCCTGGCATGTCAGTTGCCGAGAAAGCGATCACACATCTTTGTTGTCCCGAAGGAGTTGGATTAGCTCGACCCGGAGATTTGAATCAAGTCCCCGTCCGATACTAACACATTTGTCAGCATTTCCTTCGGTCAACGGTATAGATTCGGTTTCCAACTCCATTGACCTGGAGCCAGATTCTTCGGATTTGGGCCTGCTGTCAATATCAGCAGACCTTCCTGACTTCGGCTGGCCCTCTTCTGAGTCTTTCGGCTCATCCGAAGAGCTCGCCTCTTTGGTCCCCACGTTTGCTTTTTTGGATGGGGACCCCTGAGCCGAAGCACTTAGGCCTTTAGACCTTTTAGCACCTCGCTCTTTTTCTTCCTCATCCTCCTCGTCACTGCGGCGAATTTTAGAAGGTTTGAGGAAGTTACATTCCCGAGCTTCCTTTTGGCTGCCCAAGATTTTTTCTGAGCGTCCTTCGTCTGAAATGTAGATCATTGCTTGATGGTACGTTGAGACAACTCCTTGAGTGTCATGGATGAGGGGTCTCCCCATAATGACGTTGTATACTGATGGGGCATCGATGACCAAGAATTCGGCCATGATGCTTCGTCTTGCCCGGTCCTGGCCGAGACTGACGGGAAGAAGAATTTTCCCATCTGGATATGAAGGAGAGCCATTGAACCCAGTTACCGGATAGGGAACCGGGGTTAAGTGTTTGCTTTCCAGCTTCAGTTGGTCGAACGCCTTTCGGAAAAGTATGTTCGCCCCGTTGCCACCGTCTACCAGTGTCCGATAGACGTTGTGGTTTGCAATGATTACCAGTGGGTCATCATGGGGGTACACCACCCCCCTGCAGTCTTCGGCTGTGAACAGCATGTTCGGCACCGGAGACTGTGGTTTTGTGAGTTCAGCATGATGGATCTGATGGGTCTGCCCCCTTAGATGGCGTTTCAGTGCATGCCGAGAGATACCTCCGGAAATGGTCAGGATGTCATTATTTCGTCCCTCATGAGGTTTGTCCCTTTTCTGAAGGTAATCCAAGTCCTGCCGAGCATCTCTCTCGGCTTTCCTTTCTTCGCGGCGCTCCGCGACATACTTTTTCAAGTACCCTTTCTGGACCAGCTCTTCAATCTGATCTTTAAGTTGAAGGCAATCTTCGGTGCGATGTCCTAAGGATTCGTGGAACTCACACCAATGATCCTTCCCTTTCTTTTGATGCCAAGAAGAAGGTGGCTTCGGCTTTTTGAATTTTTCCTCTTCCTTAGTTGTACTAAAGATTTTAGCACGTGGTAAGGTTAGAGGGGTGTAAGACTCAAACTTTCCCATGTAGGGGGCTTTATCCTTCTTCGGCTTAGTGGTCGAGGGAGGTTCTGAGGTTTTAGCCTTCCCTTTCCTCGACCTAGGAACTTTGGCTGATTGATTATTCGGTTTGACAGCCCCAGATTGAGACTGTAACTTTGCCTGGTTCCATTCCTCGGCTCGGATGAATTTATCCGAAGCGTCGAGGGCTTTTTCCAAGGTCTGCGGTGGATGCATGACCATGAAATCCAAGAATTTCCCAGCTTGTAAGCCATTCCGTAGTGCGAATACGGCTAGACTCTGATCCAGACTTGTGATTCTGGACGACTTGTTGCTGAAATGAGTCAGATAGTCTCGGAGACTTTTGTCTTCCGATTGTTGCAGGTCCATGAGCTCTGCAGTGGCGGTTAGCCGTGGAAAACTTGCTCTTGAACTTATTGGAAAGGTCATTCCAACCCGTTACCGAGCCTTCCCTCAACCCTTTGGTGATCCATGATTGGGCCACACCAGGGTTGTAGGGAAATACTTGCACCAGGTAGCTTCGGACCTGGGGTTGAGGTACATATGCCCCTCGTAGGAGGTTATATGATCCATCGGATCCGAAGTACTGTCATATGTAATATGTGCCGGAATTTTAACCGTCGGCACGTGTTCCTCCAGTATCCACCTTTGGAATGGGGAACTGGTCGGAACCATTACGGCCTTTCCCTTCTACCGCGCTGAAGGAACCCCACTTCTCCCTCTCAAAGAGGTGGATGTGGGGGGTGTCCCTTCGCGTGACATGGCGGGTTGAGACCCCTCTGGATAGGTGAGGCGGCTATGCGCGCCTCCCTCTCTACCACCTAGGCGTTCGTGGACGCTTCGTCGAGTAGGTTCATGAGAGCCTGGGTGGTCCCTGGAGTTCCGAACTTTGGAGTTTTCAACGTGCCCGGAGTCTCCTCTCCGTTCCCGTCCAAAACCTGCCAGATTCTCAACTCTTCGGCTCCCTTCCCTTTTCGGGGATGGAACCCGTTTTTCTCCCTCCGGGCTCCTTTTTCTCTTCGGATCCTTGGATCTTGGAGGAGGAGAATGAGGGTTTTTCTTTACGAATGGGAGGTTCCCTCCCAATGCATTCATGAATTCCATGCAGACAGTTACGGCCCTCGCCACCTCTTCGGTTGATGGCATGGTAGGCGAGGTCAATTTCCGCTGTGAATGAGAATGCCCGCTCGGCTGAGAGCTCTCAAGCCGAGTTTGACTTTCTCTCTGTGAGTCATTGGCCTCACGGGACTGCGGAGGTGGAGATTCCTCGCGCATCACTTCTCTTCTCGGCGAACCTGGGTTCCCCGAGACTGAGGATGATGGCTCCGGCGACGGCGAAGGAGATCGGTGGTCCCTCGTCGTGATATGAGCCATCTTCCTAGCTTTTTTCGAATTTTTCCCGCTCTTAGTCATTTTGAGTTCGGCTAAGATCGGTTTGGAGTTTTTGGCTGACTTTTTGTAAGTATCCCCACAGACGGCGCCATATTGTTTCGGTCAGAAAACAATGGACCTTCAGCAGGTCCTTCGGATGAGTGGAGATGAAGCCCGATTCGAATGATGATCGAATCGAGGATTTCCTGCACAGCTGAACAAACGTAAACTGGTCTCAGGGGTTGTGCCGAGGAAGACCCCTCCGATGCCGAAGTCAGTACGAGTGTAAGAACAAAAGAGAATAGCTATGCAAGAGTATTTGTTGCTTGAGGCAATTTGTGTGAATGAATGTAATTATGCAAGAATGTGAGCTTTTATACCTTGTTCCAATTGAGTGGAATGGGCTTGAGGAGTCAAATGGGCTGCCATTTGACTGGGCCTTATTTTTCTTGACTTAGCTTTTTAAGTTTGAGGGTTGAACCTTGCCTATTGGGCTTTGTTTATTTTCATTTGTGGACTGAGCCCAAATATCAGTTATTTATACCCCAAACACTCTGTAAATTAGAATTACTCTAGAAAAGCAATTATATTGGCTAAGAGATCAAACTAACCATAGCATAAGATTGGATATTGGCTTTGTATTATAAAATTACAAATGGCCCTAGTTAAGAAAGAAAGGATCACGCACCCACTAATTCACGTGCTTCTTTAACATGATTACAAGAAAACAATAATCTTACACCATAGCTTATAATAACCTCCTCATACTCTTTTGTCTCTTGGCCTAATTTTAATATATCACAATATGATCTTATTAGCATTAGCCTCCAATATATTTGATAGAGAGTCCATAAATTGCATCATTTAATTTTTATTCCCTCTCTCTCACACAATCACAAATTAAAGATTTTAGGAATATTTGAATATTTATTTTTTTTTAAAGATCCTAGTGGCCGAAAATTTTGTGAAAAGACTTACTTTGTATGTGCTTAAGTAACTATCTACATTCTTCCCAAAAAAAAAAAAAACAAAACTATCTACATGATTAAAAATGTTATAAATATTTATAATAATTAACTTTATATATTTTGATCTTGGTTAATTGCACTATCAATACTTCAACGGCAGGTTCACCCCCGGCCGACTAATTTGTAGCCTAAAAGTAAGATTATTAATTATTGTTGGGATCATATCAGAAGATTCTTAAAATGAAAAGGATATATAAATGTGTAAAGAATTCTTCTTTTTTTTGAGGGAGGATTTGCTTTTTTGTTTGATGGATTGCTGTAGAGTTGTTTTAAGAGTAAAGATTTGTGCGGGATCGAAAAAGAGGTTAATCTTCCGATTACAACCAGACAAATCAGGCGAAAATTTTCTTCACGGCTACAACAAATCGATAGACCCCCTCATCGAAGAAGGCTGTAAATCACAGCGATATGAAAGAGGGTATAAAAAATGTACGATTTGCAACAACGATCGTAGCTTTATTGAAAGGATATTTTTATTTGATTCAAATGTCATGTACTTGTTTGATATAAATCTCTTTGTAGATGTCGTATGACTTTTTATTTATGAATCAACCTTTGTTCAAAAAAAAAACATATATTTAACTATATGTGCAAATTTGGATTTTAAGCTGATAAAATTTATATCTTTTGGAAAAATAGAAATTGTGCACATTATATATGCGCACTAAATTTGAGTCGAATTTTTTTTACATGTAAAATCCTTCTCATTTTAAGGAACTTCTCAATTGACCCAATTTTTTCGATTTAGTCGTCGTTAGTGGTGGTCCTCCATCCATATATACTAATTAATATTTGTAGCAATCTGCAAATTAAACTAGGGTATATAAAACATTTGACTAGAGCACGCAAGCATACAAGCTTTAATATGGAAAGTGAACAC